ACCTCGTCATGGCCGCCCTCGGCGCCGACGAGTATGGCTTTGGCACCGTGGCCATGATCGCCACCGGCTGCATCATGGCCCGCGTCTGCCACACCAACAACTGCCCCGTGGGCGTGGCCAGCCAGCGGGAGGAGCTGCGGGCGAGGTTCCCGGGTGAGGGGCGCGCGTGGTGGGCGGGCAGTGGGCGTGCCACGCCCTGTGCCTGCCTCACCTGCCTCGCCTGCCTGCCTCCTCCCTATCTGGCCAGTTCCTCGCCGCCTGCTATGCCTGCACGCCACACCCTCACCACAGCCACACAAGAATGCACCCTCCCACCCTCCTCCTCCTCCTCCTCACCGCCACCCCCACCACCACCAACCCTCCCACCACACCCACGCAGGCGCTCCCGAGGACCTGGTCAACTATTTCCACTTTGTGGCGGAGGAGGTGCGGGCGGGGCTGGCCTCCCTGGGCTTCCGCTCCATGAACGAGCTCATCGGGCGCGCCTCGGTGTTGCGCCAGCGCGCCCACCCGCTGGCCAAGACCTCCGGCCTCGACCTCTCCTTCCTCACCACCTACGCGGGGGAGACGGGCAGCAGCGTGGAGCGGCTGGGCCAGGAGGTTCACTCCAACGGGCCGCAGCTGGACGACGAGATCCTGGCGGACGCAGAGGTGCAGGTGGGTGTCGGCATGTGGGTGGGTGGGCAGTGTGGGTGTGGGTGGGGGTGTGGGGCTGGGGGTGGCATTGATTGCCACATCGCCTGTGCGGCGCCTGGCGCGCCCGGCAAGGGAACGGTGCAGTGCTCGGCCGTACAGCTACCCTGGCTCACGCCATCGCCCCGGCACACACCCCAACCCACCCTCCTCGCTCATTCACCTCGCTCCCCACCCTGGCTCCCACCCTTCCTCCCCGCCCCCAGGCCTGCATCTCCAACTCCACCCAGCTCACCAAGTCCTACGACATCGTCAACGTGGACCGCTCCTCGCTGGGCCGCGTGGGCGGCGCCATCGCCAAGAAGTGAGGCCGGGAGGCGGGGGGGGGGGAGGGGCGCCCGGGCGGGGGGTGCGGCGTGGGGGCC